CAAAATCTTCTGCTCTCTTGTGCCGAACTATATCTATGAGCCATTACACGAGACAAAAACAGATGTGGAGGATCAGTTGATATGCTTTGAGCTAAAACTTTCTTTGTTAATACGATAAACTGTTGAGATCACTATCACTATCACTATCACTATACCGCCATCGAGAGTTTAGGTTCAAAAGATGAGCGTACAATAACTCTTCTTGCGCACGCCTGCCTGCAAGAGGTGGCGGCGGTGTCGCGCAGAGAGATCTGACAGACTGCGCTCTCTATCACTGTCGCACATTATAATAACTTTAGGGTAGCTGCCTTTATAGAAAAAATAAAAGGAGAAGTTGAAGAAACAAGTATGAATATCTTATTATGCTTTCAGAATAAGGTTACTCTCCATATCTTCGAATAACTTTTGAACCCAAAACAGCTAGCTACAGACATCCGACTGTCAGTTCATGAATCAACTTTAAACAACGAAAAAGAACATGATACATAGGTTACCCTATGCGCTGATTCAACGTAGCACTGTCTTTATCAAGTGCATGGTTTTAAACCAAACGGTCTACTATTCAGCAAAGGTCAGATGTATGGCAAACGCAAAAGGTTTTGAGAAAAGCGGTACGTACTGTTATTACAGTTTCGAGTGAATTCGAACGCTGAAATAATTAAAAGGCTCTTAATGACAAACAAAAAGATCCGAATGGTTTAAAATAATTTCTCTTATCGGATATACCGCTAATTGCCTACAGTTTTCATCCGTTCTTGCTGCTGAGCGACTGGGCTAAAAATCTCTATTCAAGATTTTATTGCTTTACCCAAGCTTTCATATATTTGTAGTTACATTAATTAGCCGTTGAAACGGTGCGCGTCACGTCGAAACCCGTGACTAAAGGCTCTCTAGATACAGCAAATTTAACTTGAATCACCCTACAAAGAAGTGCATTAAAATCTGAAAAAAATAAGACTTAAACTATTTCTTCACTATGTTACAGCTCCGAAGTATGGTATTGAAAAACCTGTCGCGTTTTGGGATCCGAAGTCAACTGAAAAAATACGTTAAGTTTCAAGACTCGAAGCGAGGCAAAGCGATGGTTTGCATCTAATTTTCTTTAGAATTCGACGCTGTTTTCATTCCTGCCAGTCGAAACATGAATGATTTTTGACAAAGTTAGTATCGACTCGAAGAAGCCAAAAATCAACTGTACTCAAAGCAGTTCTGTCTGCTCTTTTGACGGTGAGATTTCCAGTAATTTTCCTCTCTCCGAATGGGGGATGCTTCATATTCCATAGTGATGCAGCTGAAGGGTAGTATATTATGAAAACTCTGCAATACGTCTAGTAGCTACAGATACACTGAGCGTGCGTGGATAGGATTTAGCGGTCCATAGTGTCCAAGACCGCCCACCGATCACATAGGATCTGATCTAGAGATGAAGTCAACGTATCCCTTTAATTTGTTGTCCCATTGAAGAAAGGATCTAGTTCTGTAACACTGTACAAAAAGGTTCCTGACAACCTGAAGCTTATACTCACGGTGATTCAGCAGTTTAATCTTCACGCGCTGATGTCATGTTTTTTATATGAATGAAAAGATGACTGCTCGCGCGAGACATAATTCACAGACCACAACTAGACATGTTCGCCGACAAAATGGTCAGCGGCGACGTGAAAAGTTTTTCCTAGTCGACGGCGTCTGCGGCGACACGTCGTGCGGCGTATCGACTAAGACATCTTTTATTTCATATTCGGTTTCTGCCATCAAAACTGGGGTTATGAAAAATAAAAAAAGTTTTCTGACTTTTTCTGGCTGAGTTATAGAATTTACAACATGAATACCATCGTCGATTTCTGAAAAGTAGGCATCTCTGATATTTTGACCATAACTCCGCCATTTTTTTGTCCGTTCTGTTCAAGCAGCATCTCATTCAAAAGCCTGATAAAAGTGAATAAAATCACATAGTTCCTAATTGTCCGAAGTAGGAATGTAAAACCCTCAACAGTTTATCGTATTAACAAAGAAAGTTTTAGCTCAAAGCATATCAACTGATCCTCCACATCTGTTTTTGTCTCGTGTAATGGCTCATAGATATAGTTCGGCACAAGAGAGCAGAAGATTTTGGCAGAAGAATTTAGGGGACTCGATGAGCCACAAAGAGTTTCCCGAGGCTTTTATATGTTAAAAAACACTGACTCAGCTTAGGTCACCAGATTTTATCTGCCTCTATTGGTTTCTGTGCGCGAAGAATGGTTTGTCTCACAGTTGTTTCCACCGCCACATTAGTTAATGTAACTTGGAAAATCAATCGTAGAGAGGGACATTACCGATGCAATAAATTTGCTCTTCTTTATATCTGCTATGTATCCACACTGCTTCTTAAGGATGTTTTATGTACATCGTTTTCTTGTAAATGGAAACAAACTACAGGTTTTCTTTAAAAATGTTCGTTGTTTTACATGTTTTTTCAGCCGGTTAGCATTGAAAGAAAACTGGGTTTTGTTGTTAACAAATAAACAAACAGCTAAAACGAGTTTGAAGGAGACAGTTTTTTCCAATACAAGTATCGAGATTTCAGACTAAAAAGAATTTAAATTCTAGATCTTCGCTAACATTTAGTTTTAGTTATATCTTCAAATGATTCTAATCGTTTAACTATAAATTCATGTAGTTTTTCAGTTTCACGAAGATATTCATCATACTCTTTCCATTTCTTTTCCAGACACTCTTTTTCACTCCGATTTCATCTAAAAAATGATTGAACATTAAATCGATTTAGAGCCAATAAGTTAGAAAACACTAATTGTTTCACAAAAGCAGCATCCATTTTAATTAAATAAAATATGGATGCTGCTTTTGTGAAACGATTATTGTAAAACATGATTATGTCAAAATATGATGACAACACTTATTTTTGGCTTGATCAATCAGTTTAGTAACAGAAATTGGTTTGTTTTATTGAATAGTTCATATCTGCATGAATACTTAATACGGGTATATATTAGAATTTTAATTAATTGATTTGAAACACAACTTGAGATTCTCCTATCAAAGCAACATCCAGTAGTGTTGCACATACAGTCGTTTCGATTCAGATATTGGCAAGCTATACAAGCGAACATCATCTTCAGTCAATGAGGATGAATGCTCGAAAACTGTTGATTTTAAATATTTGACTTTTGTATCACCATTTTTGCTTTCTGCAACAACATACTGTTCTACTTTTCCTTTTGTAAAACCACATCTAGCGTAGAATTTACATGCTGATGTCATGGTACCTAGTGTCGTTAAATGAATGGCTTTGTAGTCGTTTGATTGTGCAAATTCAATCAAGGTGTGCAACAGCTTAAAACCGACACGTTGTTTTTGATATGCAGGTATAACGGCCATTCGACGTAATTCGCATATTTGATCTGGATGAATATGTAAATAATGTGGGTTTGCTAATTCTGCTTGATAACACTTTTGATTCCCGACGGACAATGGTTGAATACCAACTTGCCCAACAACTGTATTATCAACCATGGTCCGTGCCACCCACCAATGTCCACCTTTAATATTCAAATAATTTTTTTCTATATCGGCCATATCGGTGGCAAAGACTTTCTCGACATAGCCATCTTCAGGACAATACTTCGCGTATACACCTCGTGTTATGTTTAGACACTGTGGTATATCATTTGGTTGAAAGGAGTGAATCAGTATGTCCCCATTGTTCAATGACATTTTTTAGAAAAATGATTTGCTCCTGCAAGTCGAGCGAGTATTTGTTTAATCAATACGGTTCAGTAATATATGATATAAGTAACAGAGCGAAAATAGCATTTTTTTATTTTGTTTTGCTCTTTTTATATTAACGCTGACGGCAATCAGAAAAGATTTTTTTTCTTGTTTCCTTCTTGCTTTTTAAAAGTAAAAATTATTCAATTTTTTCTGATAAAGTAACGTTGTCTTTTCAGTTATTTTTCCTCCTTCTTTCTTGTAAACTGCGAATTCTGAATTCAGCTGGTCATGAGTGGGGCGAGGGAGGTTATAAATGGAAACTTCCAACTTGTCATTCTATCGGAGCTGTAAAAGACGAAAAATTATATACTTTCATCAGTATTCTCTGCGAGAAAAAATACCTTGAGCGAACATAATGCTTATAAAATGAATACCAGTGATTCTAATTTTACTTATAACAGCCATTTCGAAAGAAAATCTATTTCAAGCTGGTAATCAAAATATTTTTTCTTTTTCCTTTGCTGCTTTTGTTAAAACTATATGATACAGATAAGGTTTTTATATAGTTAAAAAATAAAATCCATCAAAGTGAGCAATAAGAAAACAAAACAAACAAACGACTAAAAAAATAAAAATAAAAAATGTTAAAATGTTTGTGGCAGATGTTTCAGAAATGCTCCTATGATTTTATGTTGAAATGTTTAGATTCGGTGATATAGTTTAAGACGCATCGATATACAAATTCGAAATGCTCTCTACTTAGTATCTCGTTGAGTAGTAGCAGATCGAACGTAATAGGAACAGGTAAATTCACTGTAGTAATAGCTTCAAATAGTGTTACACGAGCGGTATAATAGATAGGACAAAGTAATAAGTAGTGATGTACAGTTTCCTTTGCACCGCATGCACAGTTATCTGTCTTTTTTGGATCATCGTCAGATAAATAGTCTAATAAATGACGATGGTACAAGTCATAGTTTAGCGTAGTAAGTCTAGTTCGCATTTGTAAGAAAACAATGTCAGCTGTTCTTAGCGTATTACGTATCCGAAATGTTGGAACAACAGACTGGAATTTCCATTCTGAAAATTTTCTTTCAAAACATCTAGGATGTTGTGCTTTGGTTAGTTCATGAGGAAGGGTATTCCAAATCCGTACGGGTAATGGAAAAAAACGTTTTCATAAAATTTGCTGAACGTATAGATGAGTTACTTAAAGTAATTTTAACATTATTAGATCGCAGATTATATTGAGGATTAATAGAAAAATGGACTTTTTTGGACAGGAATACTGGCGCATGACCATATATAATCTTCTGCAGTAATACTATTTTATGATATTCAAAAATATCAATAATACTTCTCCATCCAAGGACAGCAAGCGTTTTAGTTCGATCACCGCCCTGTATAGCCCCTGAGACAATATGTGCAGCTTTACACTGTAATCGATACAACAATTGGATTTGATATGCTGGCGCAGATGAGAGAACTGGTGACGCATATGACAGAATAGGTAAAACAAATGACTTGTATATTTGGTCAAGAGTAGCTGTGCAACTTGCTTGCAAGAAACTTAAAAGTTTCTTACCAATTTCTTATAACATTCTTATAAGAGTCTTACCAGTATCTTATATAAGATTGTTTAAGATTGTTTAAGAAGAAAACTATATGATCAACGATAATCTCGTTGATTATCGTGTCATGGTCATCGTGTTTGGTAAAGCTTGAAAGGAAAGGAGTATCTGAGAAAGTTCCAGAGGAAGTGGTAAAGTAGTATTAAATAATGCTTTTGTGAAGTGTACAGGGACTAGTGAGAAAAAAAGAAAAGATTTATTTAAAACTTCTAGTCATTTCATACTTTTTCAACATAAGAATAATTAAAGTAAGTAAAGAGTAAGTAAAGTTATGAGTATGTATGCTGCGTTTTATTACCAGTTTTTGAAAAAAATGGTAATAAAACGCAGCATACGTACTCATAACTTTCAGATAAAAAAATAATGTTAGCTTTCTATGTTTTTTTATTTTAGAAAGAACACAAACACGTTTTCTGTCTTCTAAAGTATCTGCCTCAAGTAGGGGTGGCACATTACTATTACTGTTATCAGTAATAGAAATATTGTATATATTACTGTTACTGGTAACACTACTACTGCCAGTATTACTGTTACTAGTAATAGGAATACATGGAAGATTACTGTTACCAGCAACAGTAATATATACCTTTTATTATTACTTTCCTCGGTAATGTAATACATGAGTAATAGTAATACTGCCACCCCTAGCCTCAAGTACCATATTGTTTTTGATAGCAGAACCTGCTAATATACATCACTGATATTAATTTCATCGATAAGTGTTGCTTCTTTTCCGAGATAAGAGTGCAGAAGACGTTGGTCTCACGGTAGTAACTTTCTAAGCTCGTACAAGTAACGTTAGTTTGTAACGCACTATACACCACTAAATGTGTCTGTTTTGAATCTATTCTGTACAAAATTTATGGATAATGGTGCCGATATTTCTTGAATCCAGTCGATCAGGGAAGTGTCTATTAGAAATCAACATATAACTGTGGAACATAGCAAATGCATCCTTCGATCGGTTTTCGTAATGAAGTATTTTCAGGATAACACATTCCGTACGTGTTTTCTTGTAGAATCTGATCGGATTCTCGCGAAGTTCTATTGTGTAGTAATATTCAATGAATAAACACGAAACAAAAAAGTATTTTTTCCATTTTCATCTGTTATGATTAACAAATGACTGAATATGGAGGAGTCCGCCTCGAAAAAATTAAAATTATCTGATATTCAGAGATCAAACGAAGACGGTTCAAAAGATGCTGCAACAAAGGATCCCCGGATTGAAAAGACAGTTGATCGTCACCCGTATGAAGTTGCAGGAAACAAAGAAGACGTAACGTTGATTTGGCTAGATGCAAATATCGACGATTCGGACGATTGTAAACAAACTTTGAATATGTTTTATGAACTGAACGATTATGTTCAACCGTATACCGATACTGAGATCTGTACTGCTTTTATTCGATCGATCGTTGACGAAAAAATATTTCTAGTTTCATCTGATGAATTAGGCAGAAATATATTGCCTCAAATTCATTCATTACAAACAGTTCAATCAATTTTTATCTATGGTGACAATCATCCGCCCAATACGGATTATTTCAGTAAATATTCTAAGGTTGTTGAAGTTTCTATCAAACGGAATTCGTTAATGGAATCCATCAAGGTCCGTGTTAAACGAACTTCAAAGCAAATAATAGCATTTAATTTATTTGATCATAAACAAAAGTCAACACGTAATCTTACACGTGAACCAGCCGCATTTTTATGGTTTCAGATACTTGTTGACGTTTTAAAACAACTACCACATAATATTCAAGCTAAAGAACAGATGCTTGATGTATGTAAAAATTATTATCGAACCAATGAAATAGAATTACAAAATATTGAACGTTTTCGTAGTAGATACAAACCGGAAGATGCTATTAGTTGGTACACGGAAGGATGTTTTGTTTATAAGCTACTGAATAAAGCTTTAAGAACAGAAGACGTTTATCTATTATACTTGTTCAGATTTTATATTATTGATTTATGCAAGCAGTTAGAAGACGAAAATCAACGTTATGCATCATGTTGTACATTGTACCGTGGTCAGTTAATGTCTAGCGATGAATTTGATAAATTATCAAAAAATATTAGAAGTTTAATATCTACAAACGGTTTTTTATCAACAACACGTGATATCAGAGTAGCACTAATGTTTTCCGGTGGAGATCAAGTCAGTCATGGAATGAAAAGCGTTTTGTTTGAAATAAAAGTTGATCGACCACTCGGAACACTTGTGTTTGCCGATATAGAAAGATTTAGTCATTTCGAAGATGAGAAAGAAGTGTTATTCAGTATTGGAGCCACATTTAAAATTGAAAATGTTGCTTTTGACGAAGACTTAAAAACATGGCGAGTGAAAATAACGGCAACAGATGAGGGTGCAGAATCTGTTCAAGCACATATCAATCATATGAGACAAGAATTGGAAGAAACAAACCCAACAAGATTATTTGGAAAGCTTCTTCTCGATATGGGCCAGTATTCTAAAGCCGAAGCATATTTTAGACTTGTACTTGACACACTGCCAAAAGATCATGCTGATTTTCCATCACTCTACCATGGTCTCGGATATTTGCATTATTTGAGACACGAATATGATCAGGCATTGAAATACGATACGCACGCATATAAAATAAGAAAAGAGAAACTACCACCTAATCATTTAGATATTGCAAAATCAGCGATCAATCTTGGATGTGATTACGAACGACATGGTGATTATAGTAAAGCAATGGATTTATTCAAAGAAGCTCTAGAAATTAGAGAAAAAAACTATACGGGTGATCATATGAATATTGCTTTAGCTCTAGTTTGTATCGGCGACACTCATATGCAGCTGGGTGATTATAAAAATGCACATAAATATTTAACAAGAGGACTCGAAATATATCAGAGAGTTCTTCCATCTAAACATGCTAAAATTGTGAGAACTATAATCAAAATTGGACATTTATTTTATAAACAAAAAGTGTATGATCATGCTATAGAATATTATCTTGACGGTTATAAAATGGCTGAAGATATTTTGCCTTTTGAGCATCCACGTCTGATGGAGTATTTTGAACACATTGTGAAAACATATGAGAAAATGAGGAATATGGAAGATGCTTTAAAGTTTTGTAATGAAAAACTGACTATTCAACGCGAATTATTTGGAGAAGTGCATCCAAATATTGCTAAAATTCACATAATAATAGGAGACTATTGTTCTAATATAGAACAAAAATTATTTGAGTATTTTCAAGCATTAGAGATTTTGAAAAAATGTGTTCCAGCTGAAGAAAGGGCGATAGCAGACTGTATGAGTAAGATCGACACTATTAAATCTTTGTCCGCATAATATTGTAAATTAATATTACTTCCATATTTTACACTTACTTTTCTACATGATTACTTATATTATTCTTGAAATAAAATAATGTTTAGTCCTGAATCTGTATCATCAACTGTTACGAAAACATGGACAAAAGCTTTTTAGTAGACAAACACCAACATGCTTCCCGAAGCGATGGTGAAAGTCAGAACAGAAGAGATAAAATATGTTTCTCGAATGCGAAGAGTCGGTTACATTCCAAAAAATTTCATCTATATTATTTAATAGTAATTGCTACCAAGTATGAAGAAATGACTGCTTTTGGCAGTTGAAATATTCATTAGGATAGATGTCCATCAAAATTGCCTATATTACCTATATGAACTATATATTTGATTGAGTCAATATCAAAAAAGTACTAACAGCGAAAGCAAAAATGTCGATGTTTAACTGCTAACAGATCTAATGAATGACGACGTTATTGTTATCTTTGCCTCAAAAGGTTTTTATTCAAACTACTATGATGTATTCGAACCTGAAAATGTATTTTATCGTACGTATGCAACAATATTCTGATGAGTCCATACTACATGACACTAGTTTTTCTCTTTCTACATAGCGAATACTCGAATATTATATCAACGTTTACTTTTTCTGTGGGTTAGCATAGCATCTTTTTTCATTCACGGATGTGCATAAATGAGATAATGGTCCATTGAATAAAAATGTGACATCATATTTTTAAGCCAACACTCAGTGTCTCAGTTTGTGAATAACACAAAAGGAAGGGAGGATAAGAGAGTGAAAATAGGAAATATAGTGCATTTTTTTGCTATTTTTCATTCAGTGCGAGGCAGTAGAAAAGTCAATGAGACAATGTTCCACAAATTTCAGCTGAAAGGATCGAATCTGTCAGCCTTTTCAATATTGGTCCAAGTGGACATCAAAGGATGGACACAACAGAGGGCTCCTTACAACAGAAGATCTCCTCTCCTCCCCCCTGGCCCAGTATAACACCTCTTGAACTAATAACGAAAAGCACAATAGAAGACCCACCTTTTTTTATCGACTTTTTTGGTAGGAAAATGTAATTATTCTTGCGTTCAATCACACACTATTTTCTCCTCCGTGTTTCTGCTCAGTGGTCTGCATAAACTCACAGCTGACAGACGAAAAAAGTGAATACATGTGCGTTCTTTTAATATTGTGAGATGATGCGATGCGGTATAAGAAGAGAAAAAGTCGTATGATCTCTTTCTGTCTTTGACGCTCACTTCTCTTTATTCTTACCATAAAAGAGCCTGTTTGCTTAACAATAACTGTAAAGCGATAAAAAATGACTGATTTAACGCAAAATCCTCATATTTTGCCGTTAAATTACGATGATAACGATCAAAATAATGATGAACCAGTTTCAGACAGCAGTTCCATTGACTCTGATATTGAAATCAATGATTTATCACAAACATTAAATGATGATTTTGTTAAAATTGATCTGGGGTTAGGCTACAGCATTAGCGAGGAGAAAGAGAATGGATTACCAACGATTAGGCTCTTGATCAAGCGATTTTAACTAAAAACCGGCTCTTTTTTGGAGGCACTATAGAAGACCCCTGTGGAATTTGTGAGCGTTAGGACGCTATATAGAACTCGGATCCTCTACTGTGTCTGCCACTTTATTACCTTCTGAAATTTTTCCGCTCGATATTTTTGCCCTTTGACTTGGAAAAAAACAATCTTTCAGTCGCTCACATCATGTTCGGATTTCTTTTTGAATTCTCAAGGTATTGTAAAAGAAGTTGATTTCTAGTGAAATACAAGATGATGATATTGTTATAGTAGAAACATAGAGAGTTCGATTATACACTTCAACGCTGACAACATCAGAAGAGATCCCATTTTATGAACGCAAGAAATGCATTTAAACAACGTGCGGTAAGTTATTCATAAAGGGGCAGCCGAGTTCATACAACTCTATATTGATAAAATTTACAAGATTAGCAGAAAGGAATCAAGAATTAGCATCGAGCTTTTTTTCCGGTTTATGAAAGGAGATTCTATAGTGCGTTTTCACGGAACTGCAGTCGATTTACCACTAGCTACAAGGGGGCGTGAAAGTTGCCGAAATATTCCGGTGAAAACGCACTATAGAATGCCGGGAAAAGTCTTATTTCGCTCAGAATTTGTCGCTCTATCAGACTATATGGTTTGTAAAATTTTCTGATTAAAAACTAAGGACTTGGTTTTTCTGCGGCCAGGTTTTCCAGAAGCTCTATTATCAACCTTTCCCATGAAAGAGCGATATGCACCCAATCTGAGAGAAAAATCTTCGGGCTGTTGAAAACATTATTCAGATTGGTTCCAGCTTTTACTAAAAGGTCAAAAACAAGAGAGTACTTGTGATTATGACACACTGTACTGCTTAGATAACACCCAAAACCTTCTTTTCCACATCTTTAATGACTGGCTCCATCTGTCTGGATATCGTGACCAGCTCACTTTGTAGAGAATTTCAAGGGCTATCCAGTAGTATATTTTCGAACGATACATAATTTTCATTATGGCAGAAAAACGACTAAAAGAGCGCTGAAAGCACTAAGATAGGTCAGAATCATCAAATCGAACAAGTATTTCAACTATTGGCCCATATGGGCATATTTCTGAAAGACTTATATATGTACATTTTGAAGCTCTTGAAATTCTTTATTGAATGGTGTATCTGTCGTAGTGACTAGTCGAGAAACGGTGATCATAGGATCCTCATGGTGGAACAAGCCATTCACTTTTCACGGCTTTCCAGACAGTATTTCAAATGTCAAGGTGCCCTAGGGCACTTTTCTCACTACTTTATATACATGAAATTGTAGCGCGAGAAATTCTCTGTCGACTGGTATATCTAACGTAGTGGCTACTCGAGAAACGGTGATCATAGGATCCTCATGGTGGAATAAGCCATCCACTTTTCACGGCTTTCCAGGCAATATTTCTAGTGTCAGGGGTATTAGGACACTTTTCTCACTATGATATATACATGAACTTGTAGCGCGAGAAATTCTCAATCAACTGATATATGTATCATAGTGGCTAGTCGAGAAACGTTGATCATAGGATTCGCACCGTGGAATAAGCCATTTACTTTTTACGGCTTTGAAGAAAGTATTTCTAATGTCAAGCTGCCCCGGGACACTATTTTTACTATCGCATATATATGAACTTGTAGAGTGGGAAATTCTCAATCGAATGGTATATATATTATAGTGGCTGGATGATAAAGGGTGTTATAGATTATCTTAGACTGTTTGCACATAGAAGATTATTTACCATAGACGGAAGTATTTCTAAACATACTTGGCCTTAGAACGACTGTTTCCGTATATGTGATAGACAGAAATATAGCACAGAAAAAGAGCTTTCGAATGACATATAATAGTTTTATTAAGGTATGAAGCCGAGAGAGATACACTCAAAAATATGATCGAGAATACGTATCAGAAGTGATTACAATTAATTTTACCCAATTTTTTCTGAGAGCATTTCTAAGGTCTGCCGAGTGGCTAGAAATGTTCTCCTGTTCATTCTGCATCTAACCATGTATGTGTCGATCGAATTCAAGCAGGGACCGATTCCATCAAATAATCGCCCCGTCCTTTCGTAAATTCAGAATTAGCCATTCTACAAATTCAGCATTAGCATCAAGTATTCAAAAATAAAAATCATGCTTTTTCTTAATTTAAAGAATTCAGGAATTCATAAACTGAATTTATCTTTTTGCAATCCGGGAAAGATTCAACAATTCAAGAATTGAGAAATTGACCCAGAAGTTTGAGCTTTTTCAATTGAAAGAATACAAAAATTCAAAAACTGAAAATGTGACTTTTCTCAATTTCTTGAATTCGAAAAAGCCAAAAATTCTTTGAATTTGTATCGAATCGGTTTGAATAATTCTAGTATTCAGGAATCGAAAGAATACATAAGTTTTAATTTAGAGACTAACAAATAGGAAGTCCCTTTGTAACTAGGGGTATGACAGTTCCATATCAGCTCCTATCATAGGAACTGTTGAAAAGTTCTTTTGAAAGGAGCTGATATGTTTGAACAGCTCTTTTGAAAGGAGCTGATATGTTCGAACAGCTCTTTTGAAAGGAGCTGATATATTTGAACAGCTCTTCTGAAAGGAGCTGATATGTTTGAACAGCTCTTTTGAAAGGAGCTGATATGTTCGAACAGCTCTTTTGAAAGGAGCTGATATATTTGAACAGCTCTTCTGAAAGGAGCTGATATGTTTGAACAGCTCTTTTGAAAGGAGCTGATATGTTCGAACAGCTCTTTTGAAAGGAGCTGATATATTTGAACAGCTCTTCTGAAAGGAGCTGATATGTTTGAACAGCTCTTTTGAAAGGAGCTGATATGTTCGAACAGCTCTTTTGAAAGGAGCTGATATATTTGAACAGCTCTTCTGAAAGGAGCTGATATGTTTGAACAGCTCTT